TTTGAAACAGGCCTGCAACGATAACCCCAAGAGTGTCGTGAGTAACTTTTAGGTGACTGAGTACTGTGTGTTTTGTTGAGACGGTGTTCTGGACATAATTAAACGGGGCGACTGGGACTGCCTCAGTGGTATTGTTAGTTACTAATTAACTCAGAGGGCACAGATGTTTCATTTAGTTGGTAGAAACCGATCTGGTAATCTTGGTTCTTTTGTTATTGCCTTTATCATTATTTATTTTACTCATTGGGTTTGTACTCACAAGAGGTCGTTTTAGTTATCTTGTTCTAATAAATCCAGCCTAAGCCGTGTGTTCTTATTTAAGCCATCGCTGCGTCCATCTTCCTTCCTCAAGCACCATACTACGAGTCCTTATTACTAGTTATAGGGGTTATCAATTTTAATTTTGATTCAACGAACTCAAGCACCCCTCATTCTAACTCGTCTAGTTGGTGCCCCTCCTGGAGAGGCACAGCTAAGCTAATAAAAAGAACAAAATACAAATGATTACAAACTGGAGAAGAAGGTTATACATAATCACTGTATGAAACTGCTTCATAGCTCATGCCTCTCGGTTTGCAGTTTTTCCAAACCTCTCTTTTAATGCGATATCCCAGACTCTACTTTTTAAAGGAATTGACATCCTTCATGTTAATTCTGTTTGCACAGGTGGAAGAAACAACACGCGAACGAGAGGAACGGCTGAAGGGTTGGTCGACTTTCCTGGAGGGAGGTGATCAAGCCCAACAGAGCAACACTGCCACCAAACCAGAAAAGAGCGGCACTGCCACAGAACCCACAGATCTCTCCATCACCACAAAAACCAAACAGCATCCAGAAACAGTATCACAGCCCGCGCAGCAACAGGAACAGGACGTGGACTCGACAGACAGCAGCTTGGCCGGAAGTGACGATGAGGAAGCCTAGACAGTCAGATGCACATCTTTTGTCCCCATGGCAACCAACAGGAACAACCAATGAGGACAAGCATGGTTGAAGATGAACTGCTGCAAAGCGCTGTGTTGGGCAGGGGAGGAGGAGGAGTCCGGACACTTTCAGCGGTTTTCTAAATGTAGAAAAATTAAAAGATTTTGTCCCCCTTATTTTCATCATTATAGTTTACCCTGTCATTAGACTTTAACTGACATGTTGTGATTCCCTTAAATACACAGCTTTTCTGAAAACAGTTGAATTGCTAGCAGTTTGGCCTGATTTGTTCTTTAGAGTTTTTTAAAAGTCAAATATATGCAGCTAAATATACATTTATTTTATCTCCCCACCAGATCAAGCATCATTATGCTTTTGTTTTGCAGTTCATAGTGACATGTTGCTGTTGTCTAAGATCTTTTCTCTTTAGGCAGTTAGGGTTTTTGATGCCTTTTATCAAGCAGCTGAATACATTTAAGGGAACTGCAGAATACACAGCTAAGAAATAACATCAAACAGGACTGCTCATTGTACAACTTTGTCCAAACTGCTGAAATATGTAGAGGTATCAAAAGGGACAGTGGTTAGCTCAATTTAAATCATAAAGCAACATTTACAAATGTATGCAATTTCAGGGGGAATACAGTTAATAAACTGTCAAAATTCACCACCAGTTTTCATCAATATCCAGCTTCAAAATAAGCTCAAGTTTTAACACAGACATTTAAGGAATGCTTTTCATTTCCTTTCTATGATTTTCACTAAGGAAAGAGCAGCATATTAACATCTTCGCTTATCAATTAGGTTAAAACATGAACGACCATGCAGCATTTTATACAAGATGGCTCTTCAGACAATTACCAGTTAACTTTAATCTGCACTAAATGGAAAACATGCTGTTGCTAGTGTGTGTACCATCCATGACTCTGGAGCATAGACGGATCTGGACAAACATCCTGAGACACCCACATAAAAAAATAGAAGTAGTCAGTAGGATATTGTGCTTAGAGCCACGATGGAAGGACAAAACTTTTTATGGTATGCCTATTTCCATGTTAGTGTTGCAGATGATTAATTCATTAGTTTAATTAACTGGAAATTATAAAATGCTTTTTTCATTACCTCATTATTTAATTTGTTATATGTTACATTTTATAGGCAAATTAATCAATAAAATGAAAACATTTTAAAAAGATGAAAATAATGAGCTGCTGCCCTAATATCCAGTATCTGGATCTCTGAGGGGGCTGACCAGCATTGACTGCCAAGCGACATAGGCACGATTGTTTTTACAAATGTAATCTAAATTGTAAAGTGTTTTTGGCTTAAAAGAAAAAACATTAAAATTAGAGCATTAATGTGTTGAAGTTGTTTGGATTTGTATAGACAAACTATAATATTCTATGTTATAATGTCGATAAAAGACAGACGATTTTCATGGTGCTCTTATGATATCACACAGAATGTTGTGATGTATCAAGGTCTCCTGAAGAAGTCCCGTCAGTGAGAGCCAGACCTTCAACAGAGAAGCAACTCTCAGTGGAAACAGCCACAAAATCTCTACGAATACAAGCAAAACTGCAGTACACTGCTGCAGTGTCTGTGTTCAGCTGACATGGAGAAAAGCGACAACTTCACAGGTGAGGTAAGATTTCCTCTACAGGTAAATATTTTAGTGCTACACTTATTTAAGGCTGCCCAGGTTTTTCCTTTATTTTATCCAGCCTAGGACCTCACCCCATCCCCCCACCTATATTTTTCACCTCCCAACCCTCTTCACCCTTAAATACCTCCTCCCATCATTCCAACTTTTGATGCTGTACTTGGGATGATTGGAGGGAGGAGGTGGTCAAAAGAGAGGAAGGGAGGGAAGGCACTCTTCCCTGCCTCACCACTAGATAGCACTGTAATCCTGCTGTTACTGGTTACAGTAGATGTTATGTTACATTAAGACAGGGGTTTTCATTAAATTGTGACCCAAGAACCACCATTAAGACTAAGAAGTAACCTAAGGACCACTGTTTTGGGGTGCATATATTGAATGGGCATTTTCATCCTGCAAGTCACCTGGGCTTTTCTAAATTGTAAGTATTTGCATGGATTCAATAATTCACAAACAATGAGTAATACATGGAAATGTGTTTTAAAAAGCAAAAAGGAAAAAAAAAGATTCCTACAGTGAAACTACATTATTGAATATATAGTCAGGGACCACCTGCAATATCTTCACAGACCACTAGTGGGCCACAGACCACTGGCTGAAATCCTACGCATTAGGACATAACAGGATTATCTGTTTTAAAGTTTTTTGAAATCTAAAAAATTGTCCACAGTTTCAAACTTGACAAAAACATGTTTTGTTTTCCCGATTTCTGCTCTTATAGTGGTCAAAACAGTAAATTCGCGTATTGTACCCGTTTCCACAAAGGCTGATGCATAGTCACCAAATATGGCTTGCAGGACTGTGCTGGAAAGTAACTAAGTACATTTACTCAAGTACAATACTTGAGTATAATTTTAAGGTACTTGTACCTTACTTGAACATTTAAATTTGTATGCTACTACATACTTCTAAATGCTGTATTTTGTTACATCACAGCTACAGCTGCTAGTTACTGATTAGTTGCAGATTCAAAATGTTACAAAATATAATCCACAAAAAAGTATGAATATTATGCATTAAGTTACACAGCAGTACATACTGTAAAGTAGTCAAATTTGGCCCCACCTGCAAGATTAAAACGATTCCTACACAACGCATCAATAATTATAATTCAGTTATATAAAGTATATATTAGTCTGAAATGGCTCATTTTGCATCTGGTACTTTTATATTTTTATACAAATTGTCTGGTGTTCAAGGTAAAGTTGGAATGTAGGACTTTCTCCTGTATCAGTATTTCTCTACTGTAGTACTGCTGCTAACTTAAAAGATACTAGTACTTCTTCCACCACTCCTCGCAGAGTACTGCCTTTTCAAATGAGTTTAAGACAATTGTAATGCAAAGAGCGATTTGTATCATTTGCACAGTCATCTCATTGGAAATACCTTTTGCAGGGCTTGTAGAGCTTGTTATTAATCAATAATATCATTCAGTGTTTCATCTGCATTTGTCTGTCTGTAGCTAAAGCTTTATAAAGGAGATTCTTAATCCCAGTGGTACTAACACTCACAAACCATGTAATGTGCAAATGGGTGTATGTGATAAAGGGTGCTGAGCTGGGCCAAGAACACAGCTCTTGATTTTGAACACTGTGTCCTCAGTTTTCCAATAAACTATGACTACAACATAGTTTAAAAGTAATGCAACAACAGTGTATGAGTCAACAAGGGGGTGCAGACAGAGAAAGATATGGGATAGGAGTAGAAGCAGAGGAGGAAATGGACAGAGGGAGGGTCTGTTTGTGTGTGTGTGTATGCGCTATGTTCCCTGGAGTCCACCCTGGAGATCGCTTGGGAAAAAGACCTCTAGGTCTGCCTGAGGTTTGAACTGCAGCCAAGAAAAGCAAGACAAAAATAGAGGCAGAGAGAGAGAGAGAAACTTTAAACCTAAGAATCAAAGACATGGGCATGGAGAAAGAGAGACAGAGAGAGAGATGGAAGATGGAGAGGGCGTGAGAGGAAGGAGGAGCCAAAGAGATGGCGAAAGAGAGTGGACAAAGAGCTTTGTATCTGAGGAGAAAATGTATGGAAAATAAAAACATTCACATGGTGTCTCTCTCTCTCTCACACGCACACCGTTGATTGGAACCATATGCTGACAGACAGAGCAAATAATGGGAAACTGTGAATTGTTTGATTTGTTTTCCCTCTTTGTTGCGTTGGGATGGGGAGTGGGTGAGATGGTGGGGGTGGAAAGTGTCCGTAACCGTAGATGATCATCAACCATGGGAAATTCCAGCAAGTAGATGTGTGTCTGCACTGCATAGACTGTCCGATCCATAAACAGCATCCAGAAGAGGGGACTTCCACTGTGTGAACAAGGAACCTGAGCAGTGGTGTGCCCAAAAGTTCGCTATACAGAGTGTAAATGGTGGTTCTGATACTGAAGTGGTCAATACCACCGGTGACAACCAAGTTACTTCTCTGCATCTCTCCCTTTCCTACATACATCTACAGTAAATAAGACACTTCGACTGCTCTTGTGAAACAGACCCAAAAGCATCTGACTAGATTTGATTAACAGTTTGGCACCTGTGTATTAAGACAAACGCAATTGTTTCTGTTAAAAGTCCCCCCTGCGTATGCAGTCTGCTGTCCACATACAAGTAATATGTTTAAACCACGAGCAGTTATTTTGAACAGCCAGCATGGAGGCACGCTTGACAACTAGAAGTCCAAAACAGTGGCTTCTGCACAAAGAGAGTGGGACAAAGAGTAGAAACCAGGTTTAAAATAGAACTGGCTGAAAAGCAGCCAAAGGACTCAGATTTGATTTTTGTGGCATTCTTCTTTCTGGGTATATTAGCATCCAAAACTAATGTGTGCGGTCACATGAGCGACCTGGCATGGTCTTAATTTTACCCTTGTTTTTAATTAATATGATTTTAGTTTGGGAGGAATTTGAGTTTCGTGTAATGTTAGTGCTTTGTGACAGCAGTAACCAGCATTCTACTGAAATAACAAATTTACCCTGTAGTCATCTGACACTAGCATTGAGCTGCAGGCTGCATGTTGTCACAA